CCCAAGCTGGAAGGGGACCTGAAGGGGCCTGACCTGGACATCAAAGGCCCCAAAGTGGATATTGAGGCACCCGATGTGGACGTTCATGGCCCAGAAGGGAAAATTAAAATGCCCAAGTTCAAGATGCCCAAATTCGGCTTTTCTGGCCCAAAAGTGGAAGGCCCCGAGGTGGACGTGAACCTCCCCGAGGCCGAGGTCAACATTTCGGGTCCGAAGGTGGACGTTTCTGTCCCTGAGCTGGACATTGAAGGCCCCGAAGGGAAACTGAAGGGCCCCAAGTTCAAGAAGCCGGAGCTGCAGTTCAACGTCCCCAAGATCTCCATGCCCGACATCGACCTCAACCTGAAAGGCCCCAAACTCAAAGGTGACCTCGACGCTTCTCTTCCCAAGGTCGAGGGTGAGCTGAAAGGCCCCAAGCTGGACATCAAAGGGCCAGAGCTTGAGCTGGAGGGGCCAAAGGTTGACCTGGATGGAAAAGCTAAAAAATCCAGGTTTAAACTTCCCAAGTTTGGCTTTTCTGGCCCAAAAGTTCAAAGCCCCGAGGTGGACGTGAAGCTTAAAAAGCCTGAGGTTGAACTGTCCGGCCCGAAGGTCGAGGTCCAAGCTCCGGATTTGGATCTCCAGGGAAAATCCAAAGGCTCCAAATTCAGAATGCCTTTTCTGAACATTTCTTCACCCAAAGTCTCGATGCCGGACGTGGAGCTGAACCTGAAGGGGCACAAAATGAAGGGGGAGCTTGACCTGTCCACTCCCAAATTGGAAGGGGAGCTGAAAGGACCTGAGGTGGACATCAAGGGCCCCAAGGTCAACATCGAGGCCCCCGATGTGGACGTTCACGGCCCGGAGGGGAAACTCAAGATGCCCAAGTTTAAAATGCCCAAATTTGGTGTTCCTGGGTTTAAAGGGGAGGGGCCAGAGGTGGACGTGAACCTGCCAACAGGAGAACTGGACGTGTCCGGGCCCAAAGTGGACATTGAGGGTCCAGAACTGGACATTGAGGGGCCCGAGGGGAAGATCAAAGGTCCCAAGTTCAAGATGCCCGAGATGAACATCAAGGCCCCCAAGATCTCCATGCCCGACATCGACCTGAACCTGAAGGGCCCCAAGGTCAAGGGGGACGTGGACGTGTCCCTGCCCCGTGTGGACCTGAAAGGACCCAAGGTGGACGTGGAAGTTCCCGACATCGACGTGGAAGGTCCGAAAGGAAAAATCAAAGGCCCCAAATTTAAAATGCCCGAGATGAACATCAAAGCTCCCAACCTCTCCATGCCAGACCTGGACCTCCACCTGAAAGGTCCCAAGGTCAAAGGCGGGGTGGACGTTGATCTGTCTGCACCAAAAATCGAAGGGGACCTGAGCTTGCCGGACGTGGACATCAAAGGCCCCAAAGTGGACATTGAAGCTCCAGAGGTGGACATTGAAGGGCCCGAGGGGAAGATCAAAGGCCCCAAGTTCAAGATGCCCGAGATGCACATCAAGGCCCCCAAGATCTCCATGC